CCTTGCAGTACGACATTAGCGCCTCCCTCACTGGGTGTCAAGAGGCGATGCCTGTAAAACTCTCAGCACAGGGACCTGGCCCAGAATAAGTGTTCAGCAAGTCCGCGCAATTCCCCTTGTGTCTTCTGTTTGCTGTGGCCGCTAAGCGCAGAGATGCTGGAGTTCACCTGCCCGGGCTGAAATCTCAGCTCTCCCACTCGCCGCCGAGGGAGCTGAGACAAGTCGTTCCCTCTCCTGGACTTTGATTTCCTCATCTAAAGATCGTGCTGTCGTAAGGATAAGTTCATAGATCCTGGAAAGCAGGCCTGGCACGTGACACATGCTCCGTGCGCTGGTTTTTACTACTGAAACGAGTGTCGATCTCCTGAGTCAGACGACCCCTGGCCCGGCCCCCATCCGGGTACCAGCACTTGGCCTCCCAGAATCTCATTTTCTTGTTGAGAGGGTGAGAGACTGAAACCCAGGCTTCCACAGAAGGCTTTCTCGCTTCAGAAGTTACCCAATATCACCAAGCTGCTTATCAGCCTGCTCGGTAGGGAGAGGCCCGAAGCCTGAAGCAAGCCATAAAAACATGATTTATTCACCTGTCAGAAACGTCCAGTGCAGGGCTTGGCCTGGCCTTATTTGACCTGCCAGGGAGGATCCATGGGAATGCCACAGGTCGAACACAAGACAAATGACCCTGCAGGAAAGAAGGGACAGCCAAGGGGGAGGGCGTCATCCACCACCAGCCGCTGCTGATCTCCCTTTCTTCCTTCAGTCCACTATATATTTTTTGAAGTGCCTACCCCGCACAGTGACCAAGACGGGGAAAAACTCTCCCCAAAACAAGGAAAGAAATACATGAACAAACCAATCTCAGATGAGGATCCAGCTCTGAAGAAAATAAAACAGAGCAGCGAGATACAAAATATTTGCATTGGGAAAGGTCAATGTTAAAAAAAATAATTTTAAAAAAAGATATCATGACTTTCATTGAGATAAAAAAAAAAAAAGAACCTGTATTAAAGATTTTATTTAACTCATTATAAATGAGGGAACCGGGTAGGTGTCACAACCCGTTCAAAGGAGAAATCAAAGAACAGACACATTTCAGCTGAGGAATGTTGAAATGGATTTGCAAATAGACGGGAAATGCTGATTCCACAGAGGGAGACGGAAGTCAATCGAACAGCCCCTAACTCGATTTGTTTGCACATCCAAAGACAAGAGCTGTTTGCATTGCTTTGGGTTCTCTACTACTTAGAGTACTATAGAACAGCTCGGAGGCCGTGAAAGTCTGGAATCAGCTGGCAGAAAGGGTGTCCTCTAAACAATGCAATTTTCCACTGGAGACACGCAGTCTTTTTTTTTTTTTTTTCTTATTCCAAATTTCCTTATGTCAGGTCGGATGTTACTGAGAGGTGACCTCTGAGCAGAGATGGTAGGCCAAGGTGTCCCACGCAAAGATCTAGGGAGGGTCGTCCCTGCAGAGGGAACCATAGATGCAAAGATCAACGTAGGGTTTTTGGTGTGATTAAGGAACCAAAGGTCAGTGGGGCTGGAGCCAGTGACGAGGGGGCAAATGTCGGGCACAAGGAGAGAGGGGCAGGCAGGGGCCAGAGTCAAAAAGTACAGGCTAAGATTTTATCCTAAGAACTAAGAGGAGCCTGGAGAACCCTGGGCAAGGAAGGGCCAGGGTCTCGCTTATGTTTTAAAAATATATTTCTAGCTACTGAGACTGTAGCTATTTAAAAATGACTGCAGGCAAGTGCCTTAACATCTCAGGAAGAAATTTTCCTTAGGAAAGTTCAGGAAACAATCCTGGAGCCGGAAGCCGGCAAGAAGGACTGACAATAATAAGGAGAAATATCAGGATATGATGCAGGGAGAAAGCTCCACCCCTGAGCAGTAATGACTCTAATTTGGGGACCAAAAGACAGCTCCCCTCGTTGACACCCAGGGATTCCACATTCCAGTAGAAATGCGAGCACGTGGGCACCAAAACTCAGGCCCAAGAGTATTGCCCACGACACTATTATCTCCTAAAACCGTAAACTGCTCAAATTCCCATCCGTGGTAGAACGGATACAGCGGTCTGTTCATCCAATGGACCGTCTACTGTGAATGAAGGAAGGAGCGACCGATAAGTGCGACATGGAGGAATCTCAGAAACACTTTGCTGAGTGAAAGAAGCCAGACGTAGAGAGTACGGACTCTTCGGTGACATCTGTAGGAAGTTCAGAAGCAAACAAAGCTAGGATTTGGGTTTGGAAATCCAGAGAGTGGTTGGTTACCTGTGGGGAGGAAGGCAAAAGTAATGAGTGATTGGGAAGAAGGGCTTTCTGAGGGGCTGGTGTTTTATTTCTCGTCCTGGGAGGGTATCATTGCTTTGGAGCAATGAGTTTTCAATAGAAAACTGGGTGTTGTCTAGTGCAGGCTTCAGGATTATTTTACTCTATGCACCTTGCAGCATCTTGGAGCTATTTTAGAACTCCAGAAGTTGTTGAATACACTGATCATAATGCAAATGATTCTCGTCCAGGAAAATGCACATCGTGTCCGGTGAAATTGCAGGCGGTTACTGACCTACAGATACCAATCAATTCTGAATCGATTAAGCTAGTTCATTCCAGCATTCCCGCCCGCCTCTGTGTATCTACTCTTGATTCTCCTTTGAAGCTATTGTAACATCATACTGGTTCCCTCGTTAGTGAATGAGTTAAATAAGACCTCTGACACACGTTCACTTTATATTTGTATGGAAATCGCCATTATATCCTTTCTTTAAAAAACGCCCCTTTCACACGATCTGTTTTTTCTGTATGTGTCTTAGACTTCAATTTTAAAATGTTTTTTAAAAAGTTCGATTTAAAAGGGCAGGAAAGGGCGCTGTCGTTTCGTCTAAGGCTGCTGTCATCAAGCCCTTGAATTCTTGGGTGGGACGTGGTGGGCCAACTGCCAAGGACCACGGTCCCGCAGAAT